ACCTAAGAGGGGAAAGGAATGTCATTAATGATTTTTAAAATATCCTAAAGTGGCCGGGCTCAGTGGCTCAGCCTGTAATCCCAGCACTTTGGGAGGCCAAAGTGAGTGGATTGCCTGAGCCCACGGGTTTGAAACCCACGCAGGCAACTTGGTGAGACCTTGTCTCTACAATAAATCAAAAATTAGCTGGGCGTGGTAGCACGCACCTGTAGTTCTGGCTACTTGGAAGGCTGAGGTGGAAGGATCGCCGGAGCCCAGCCGGAGCCCAGCCGGAGCACTCCAGTCTGGGCGACAGAGTGAGACTCCAACTCAAAAAATAAAATGAAATAAAACTAAAATAAAATATCCTAAAGTAACAGCCAAAACTTGGTGCCATTTCCCAAAGCCATTAAGCATGAGTCTGAGAATACAAGGGGTTAGATGGAAGTGGCTCCTCTTACTATAAAACCAAAAAACATGCTGAAGGAGTTTTTCTTTTTGTTTCGGAAGACTTTGAGTTCAGTGCATTTGGGTACTAGTATCCATGCAAAGAATGCTCTTACCAGGGAACATAATCGTGGTCCCATTAAATGAGAACCTAAGAGTTCCCATGGTCATTTTAGGCTCTTTATGACATTGACCAGGCAGGCAGAGAGGAAGACCACTGTATGGGATATAGCGTGATTAAGCTGGAAGGAAATTTGGTTGGTGCTACACAATGGAAACAAAGGAGAATGACACAATAGGGAGCAAATGGGAGGAAGAAGAGTGAAGTCAAGATATTTACCACCCTGTAAAATGGCTATATTCTTCAATCAAAGACTCGTCTCCTGTATGACTCCTGTAAGGCAGACCTCTCCACATGGCTTCTTAATGTCTAATAACTCCTCCCTAACTTTGCCCTTTCAGATCTAGGAATGGTAATGGTTCTTTAATGTTACTAGCCACAGAGAACTGCACTATCCCTTGTGATATCTGAGTATCTAGAGTTTCTCAAATGAGGATAGTGTCAACACTCCCACAGTTAGCTATTTCTTCTATAACTCCATTTACGTTTGATTTGAATTTCACCTCCAGCCTTATCACTTTTTTTTTTTTTTTGCTGCACTTTTCTGTTGTTGGCAACTCCCTCTATCAATTATCCATTTTTGTAAATGTCACATGGGTTTATCACTGAGAAACAAGGAGACAACTTCATCCTTTGCTCTGTGTGTGAACTGAATAAATGGTGCATAGTGACCAATCACTGATGGACTTTGAGGAAGTGGCGATTAATCATTGATGTTATTTACACAGTGTTTTGTGAAATGAAAAACTATCATCTGTTTTACTTTTTGCAATTACTGAGCTAATGTAGCATTACTTATCTCTATAGTTCCAACCCAGCACATTTGTCACACTCACCTTGCATTTCTATACTAAAGTCACAACAACTATCAGGTGGCCCAATCAAAACAATTACTCTCTCTTGCTTCTGGTAACCACTCTTCTCCTCTGGCCTCTTCATGTTAAGAACTTGGTATACATTTTCTCTCTTGCTCTCTCTCTCTCCCCCCACCCCCATTCCTCCTTCCCTCTCTTCCTCTCTTGCTCTTTAGCGATTATTAGCCTTCTCTCATCTCATTCTCAGTAACAACCATTAGTCTGGCTTCTAACACCATAGATTAGTTTACCTGTTTTTGAAGTTGTAGCCAACATATTTGACGTATTTTGGGGTTATGGTTTCTTTCACTCAACATTATGACTCTGAGATTCAGACACAGGGTTATTACTGGTATAGTCTTATACAAATGTAGCACACTCTATTCATTATACTCTTGATGAATTATTTTAGTGTATTTCCAGTTTTCTACCATTAGAAACAGTGCTACTAGGAACGTTATATATATATTTTTGTACATAGAAATGAAATTGTTGCATTTTTATTTTTTGTGGAGCACTTATACTGCTTTTCATAATGGCTATACTAATTTACATTCCCACCAACAGTGTATAAGAGTTCCTTTTTTTCACATCCTCCCAACCTGTTATTTTTTGTCTTTTTTATAATAGCTGTTCTAATTTAGGTGAGGTGATACCTCATGTGGTTTTAATTTGTATTTCTTGAATGATTAGTAGTGTCAAGCATTTTTTCATATATTTTGACCATTTGTAGGTCTTTTGAGAAATATCTACTCAGGTCTTTTGCCTATTTTTTATCAAATTATCTGATTTTTTGTTATTGAGTTGTTTTAATTCCTTATATATTTTGATTTTAACCCCTTGCCAGATGTATAATTTGCAAATACTTTCTCCCATGATATAGGTTGTCTCTTTATTAGTTTTTCCTTTAACCATCAATCCAAATGAAATCAGTATGTCAAAGAGACATCTTCACACCCATTTTCATTTCAGCACTATTCACAATATCCAAGATATGGAATCAACCTAAATGCCCATAACACATGAATAGATAAAGAAAATGTGATATATGTATATACATGATGGGATACTATTCAGTCATAAAACAGAAAGAAATTTTGTCAACCGTGGAAAAATGGATGAATCTGGGTGACATTAAGTAAAATTAGCCAAGCACAGAAAGACAAACATCACACAATTTCATTCATATGTGGAATCTAAAAAAGTTTATTTTATCAAAATAGAGTAGAGAACAGTGGTTACCAGATGCTGGGGAGGGTATGAGGGAGAAAGGACCAAGAAATGTTGACCAATGGGTACAAAGTTACAGTTGGACAGGAGGAATATGTTTTTAGTGTTCCATTACACAACGTGATGAATATAGCAAATAAGAATGTAGTTTATATTTCAAGATAGCTGGAAGAGAAGATTTTAAATGTTGTCACCACAAAGAAATGACATGCTTATAGTGATGAATATGAAAATTAACCCCAATTTGACCACTATAGTATGCATACAGGCATTGAAACATCACACTGTACCCCATGAATATGTACAGCTATGATGTGCCAATTATAAATTTAAACAAGAAATGAAATTTTGGGACCTTGAGACATGTGTATGTTCACTTTGAGTAGATACTACCCACTTTCTAAACTAGTTATAGCAATGTATACTCCTATGCACAATAAATGAGAGCAGCAGTTGCTCTGATTTCTTAACACATGGTGCTGTCTATCTTTTTCATATTATTTTAAGTGGGTATGAGCTAGTATTTCTTTAAGTTTGAACTTGTAGTTCATCATTTTTGACCATTTTCATATTCTCTTTTGGTGAACTGTTTATTCATGTATCTTGCCCATTTTTCTATGACTTCTTTATATTGATATTTAAGAGCATTTCATACACACTACATATGTTATTGTCAATGATGCATTGCAAATACTCAACACTCTGTGGCTTGTCGTTTCACTCTCTTCATGCATTTTCAGGAACAGGATTTCCTAAATCCAATGTGATCCAATTTTATCCAACTTTTTACATATAATTAGCGTTTTTGTATCTACTTTTTAAAATTTTTGAGTGATCTCAGCAAAATGGTAGAATAGGAGTCCTCCAGTTTCACTCTCCTCCACAAAAATCCAACTAGCAACAATCCACAAGCATGAATACCTTCATGAATATCCCAGAACTCGGGAAGGAGGCTGAGACACCACCCTGGACTGCAGAATCAAGAAAAGTCACAGTCAAATGGTAAGATAAATGGTTCTCCCTAACATGCTGCCTCTCCCACAGGCCAGTGGCACCACATGCAGAGAGTTCCCCTGAGCCCACAGTTTCTGTGAAATTGGAGGCAGAAATTTGACTTCTCCACCATTCTGGGACCCCTTATGAAAGGCTCACTCCTGTCTCATCACACAGAAATATTGGGAGTACTGGCAAGGTTGAACAACCTGGAGTCAGCTGGATATTTAAAAACGAGGGTGGGGCTCAGTGACCAGTACATGATTCTTGGTAGTTTCTCTGCACTCTGGCCAATGGCAGTGCCACACCAGAGAAACTAATCAACATCATGCTGCAGGAAATGTCATACATATTGCAAACAAAAATACTGCCCAGCCAGGGAAGACCACCTGAAACCCTGCTCCATCAGAGACAATCACAGAACGCAGTCAGTATTCCTACCTGACGGCAGAGTCCAGCTAGTGGTTTCACCAGAGTGCAGAGCACAGCCAGCTGTATCATTTGACCTCAGAGCACAGGAAGCAACCAAGCTCAACCAGAGAACCTGAAACCAAGCTCTGCCTGTCCAGGCTTGCAACCAGCTGGCATCCAGAATCCAAGGCTTGACTAAATAGTAAAAGCCAATCACCACCAAAGAACACCTAAAAAAGGCTGGAAGAGGCAAACGTCTCCTCAAATGCACAGGCATCGATGTAAGGACACAAAGATTAAGAAAACATCGGGAAATATGACACCACCAAAAGAAACTAATAAAGTTCTAGTAATGTAACCAAAAGAAAATAACATCTATGAAAGGACTGACAAAGAATTCAAAATAATCTCCCTCTGGGAGATGTTGGTTAAGAAAAATACATATTTAATGTTAGAAAGGAGACCAGGCACTCACACCTGTAATCCCAGCACTTCGGGAGGCTGAGGCAGGAGGATTGCTTGAGCCCAGTAGTTTGAGACCAACCTAGGCAACATAGTTGCACCTTGTCTCAATAATTAAATAAAAGTTAGAAAGGAAGAATGAGTTGAAGAAAACTATTGTACAGCTTGGTAACTAGTTAATGCCAACAAATTGAATTCTTGAAAAATACTGAGTGCATGTTAAGTGTTCTCACCACAAAAAATAACTACATTAGGTAACGCGTTTGCTAAGTAGCTAGATTTAAACATTCCATGCTTATATTTTTATTTCTACTTTAACTACCAAAGTTAATTACATACTTGTTCTGCATATTATTCTTCCTTCTACACACTTCAAAATTTTAGCAGAAATGTAAAACAAAGTCAATTTCTAAACATAAACATAAATGAAAACTATATAAAGCATATGGATAATTTTTCAATGTGCGAATTTTTAAAAACAATAAGTTTAAATAAATACATACCAATGCAACTCCTGCAGAATAACGGGAAACACACATTTTTCCAGGAAATGCTGCTCCTATATAATTTGGAAAATCCCTATAACTAAATAAGTAAACATTTATAATTAATAATTTAAAAGTGAGAATTACTGCCAATAATTTACAACTCTAGTTCATAACATCTTAGTCTGAAGCAAACTGAGGTATGATCTTTCATATTCCCTTAATTGTTTCAAATTTGAAAAACATTTTAACTAATATTATTAGTATTTATTGGATTAAGTACCCTTCAGTTCTGAAACATATCCAATGGATTCACGTTTTTGATGCCTGTACTGTTCTTATTACATTTGGTTAAGCTTACCAAAGGCTTTAATTCAACATTTTTATCAAAAATACTTTGTTTAATGACAGTGACAAACTGTATTAATGTATGGATTAAAATTTGTCACTCCCATGCAGAAAAAGTTAAACAGTTTCTCATGGGAATGACTTTATTGTTTCAAAACTAAACATTATTAGTTCAGCTTTAAGTAAGGGCTCATATAAATTGCCACATAATAATAGCACTATTCTCAGAGTTTATATGGATTATTCCATTTAACCCTCAAAACAAAACTAGCAAAGCAGATATTCTTTTTATCCTCACTAAACAAATCAAACAAGTGGGAAGTATAAGTAGCCTTCTCAAGGTAACATGATTAATATATACTACTGAAGGATCTGATTTTAGGAGGGTTGAATCCAGAGCCATACTCTCAACCACTAAGGTACAGAGGCGCCAAACATATACTACCATATTCAGAGCCCCCATCAAAAGAAACCAGGATGTGTGAAAAGAAACTTGGTACTCAAATCTCAGTTTGAAATGACCCTTCTGTCTCAATTGCACTTCACATCAAAATTACACTATGAAGTGCTTAACTCTATACCATCTCTCAAAATTAGTTACACTATCCTACAATCTCACTTCTGGGACCTACACATATACGTGTTTAAAATGATATATATATGAAAAGGTTCTCACTGTGGAATTCTTTATAATAGTAAAATACTGAAAGCAATCCAAGTGGTCAATTATTAGGGACTAAGTAAATAAACTGCATGCCATCACACAATGAGCCAGTATATAAAGGTTACAAACAAGGAATATTTCTATGTTCTTATATAAATAAGATTGAGCTATATTAATTTTGAAAAGGCAAGGGGCAGAATAAGAGCTATGTAATGTGCATACTGTTGTTTAAGAAAGAGAATACAATAAGAATAAATACACTTATTTGCTATATTTGCAGAAAGACTGCTAACAAAATCCTCAAGTCACTAATAACAATGATTTGACTCCCTAAGACTGGGAAGCAATGGTGGGAGGTGGAAGACGGAAAGTAAAAATTTTCGGTGTATACTTTTGACCTTTGAATACTATAAACACATTGGCAACCCCAAAACATAAAACTAAGCTTTAGAAACAAAGATAAATAAATAAACCTAATCTAATATAAATTTGGTAATAAAAATTTTGTTTCAAGAGATTTTGGGTCAAAGTTCCTTGTTCATCTTTAATAAAAGACACTCAAAAAACAATTAATGAATAAGACAATATATATTCATGTGAATGAAATGAGAAAACTATATTTTCAGAGCAAAAGACAAAATCCTAAAATTAAGTTAAAATGCCAAACTATTAGAACTGACTAGAAATATCTATACGAACTTATAATTTTAAAACTCTCTTTTCTATTTTAGAAAATAAGCTATAACATACATACAATAAAATTCATCTTTTTGACACACAATATTGAGTTTTGACCAAGGCATACAATCATGTAAGTACCACTATAATAAAGATAAACTCCCAAAATTCCCCTGAAGACATCCCCCCAATGCTAAGCCCTTGATATGTTTTCTGTTCCTATGTTTTGACTTTCCAGAATATACATGCATATTATACATAAATATGTCTACATGCTTGTGTAGATACTACAAATATATTTTTCTAAATAATTATAAGACATTTAATTATTTAAAATTGGTGTAGTATAGAGTGCATATATTTTAAAAATTAATTTAAATAGTTATTACTCAAAATTTAAGTATAAATATATACACATTATAATATTTGTATATATTTTAGACTCACCTATAGGGTTGCAAGTATCAGTAGTTCATGTCTTTTTATTACTGAGAAGTGGTTTGTTGCACAGACATACTACAGTTTGCTTATTCTTTTACCAGTAAGGACTCTCGGACTGCTTTTAGTTTGGGGTGATTATGAATAAAGTCACTATAAACATTTGTTTACAGATGTTTGCTGTAGTGTAAGTTTTTAAAATTTAATTCCAGAGGTACATTGCAGGTTTTCAATCTACGTATATTGTATGATGGTGAGGCATGGGCTTCTATTGAACCTGTCACTCAAACAGCATGATGCCCAATAGGTAGTTTTTCAACCTTTGCCTCCCTCCCCTCACTGGAACCCCCAGTGTCTGTTGTCTTCATCTTTATGTCTATGTGAACCCAGTGTTTAGATTCCACTTTTATGTGAGAACATGTAGTATTTGGTTTTCTGTTTCTGTGTTAATTGCTTAGAATAATGGCCTCCAGCTGCATCCATATTGCTGCATAGGACATGATCTTGGTTTTTTTAAATGGCTGTGTAGTATTTCATGGTGTATATGCACCAGTTTTCCTTATACAGTCCACTCTTAATGGGCACCAAGGTTGGCTCCATGTCTTTGCTGCTGTGAATAGTGCTGTGATAAACATACAAGTGCAGGTGTCTTTTTGGTAGGACAATTTCGTTCCTTTGGGTATATACCCAGAAATGGGAATTCTGGGTGAAGTGGTAATTTTATTTTTAGTTATTTAAGAAATCTCCAAAGTGCCTTCCACAGAGGCTGAACTAACTTGCATTCCCCAAAATAGTTTGTGAGCATCTCCTTTTCTCTGCACCTCACAAGCAACTTTTTTGACTTCTTAATAATAGCCATCATACCGTCATGATGGTATCTCACTGTGGTTTGGAATTTATTAAGATTTGCTTTATGACAAAGCCTGTGATCGTTCTCAGGATGTGTGCAGATGAGAAGAATGTATATTCTGTGGTTGCTGGGCAGAATGTTCTGGAGAGTCTACTAGGTCAAATCGTTTAAGTGTCATATTTAAGAATTTCTTTGTTATTATTCTGCCTCAATGATATATCTAAAGTTGTTATTGGGGTGTTGAAGTCCCCCACTATTATTGTACTACTATACTATACTATACTATACTATACTATACTATACTATACTATACTACACTATACTATACTACTAAAACATTGTACTACCTAAGCCCTAAGAGAAGGCATAATAGTAATTGTTTTATAAATCAGGGTGCTTCAATGTTAAGTGTCTATATATTTAGGATAGTTAAGATTTCTTGTTGGATTGAACCCCTTATCATTATGTGATCCCCTTTGTTGTCCTTTTTTACTGTTGTTGATTTAAAGTCAGTTTTATCTGGAACTAGAATAGTGATCTTTTTTATTTTCCATTTGTGTGACAGTTATTTCTCTATCCCTTTACCTTGGGTCTATAGGTGTCATTACATATGAGGTGAATATTCTGAAGAGAGCAGAAAGATGGGTTTTGCTTTTTAATCCAATTTGCTACTGTGTGTTTTAAGTGGGTCATTTAAGACATTGTCATTCAAGATTACTATTGTAATATGGAATTTTATTCCTTTCATAATGTTGTTAGCTAGTTGCTTTGTAATCTCAGTTTTGTGGTTGCTTACTATAGGGTGAGTTGAATATGTGCTTATGTGCACTTTCGTGGTAGGAGGTTTTGTTCATTAGTTTCCATGTTTAGGACTTCCTTATTCATCTCTTGTAGTAACAGGCTGGTGGTGACAAATTTCCAAAAGCAATTGTTTTTCTGGGAAAGTCTTTTTTGATAGACTTGGATAGTGTAACTAATTTTTTTTACTTCATTTATGAAGCTTAATTTGTGAAGAATGAAATTCTTGGCTGTCAGTTCTTTTCTTTGAGAATGAAAAAGATGGGCTCCCAATCTCTTCTGGATGGTAGGATTTCTGTTAAGAGGTCTTCTGTTAGTCTTGTGAGGCTCTGTTTGTAGTTGGTATTGTCCTCTCTAGCTGCCTTTAAGATTTTTCTTTCTCTTTAACCTTGAATTGTCTGATGACTATGTACCCTAGGGATGGTCATCCTATATAGTATCTCACTGGAGTTCTCTGAATTGCTTATATCTGTATGTCAACCTCTCTAGCAAGACTGGAGGACTTTTCTTGGATTATGTCTTCAAATATATTTTCCAGGTTGCTTCCATTCTTTTCTTCTCTCTCAAGAATGCCAATCAGTTGCAGGTTTGGTCTCTTGACAAAATTCCATATTTCTCAAAGACTGTACAATTTTTCATTTTTTTTCCTTTATTCTTATCTAACTATGTTGATTTGAAGGATCAGTCTCCAAGCTCCGAAATTCCTTCTTTTTCATTATTTTAAAGAAGTAGGGTACAATTCAGAATTAGGTGTACAAGTGGTCATCATACAGGTAGTTTGGGCCTCCCTTGTGTTCCGTTTGCCTGGTTTGAAATCAGGCACCCTTTTTGATGTTATGTGGCCCCTCGACTCCCCCAGAAGTTTCTGGCTATTGCTAATCCCTCTCTTATAGTATTGTGGAAAATGTTCAGGTCTGCTTGTGAATGAGAACATGTTGTGAGAACTCAGTTCTTTGTTTCTGTGATATGAAAGTCTTTCTTCTGCTTGGACTAGTTCGTTGTTACAGCTTGTAATTGAATATTGAAATTCCTGAAGTAAATTATTCAATTCCAAAAATTCAGTTTGGTTCTTTCTTAGTATGTCCATGTCATCTTTCAATTCTTAGATCATCTTTCTGGCTTCTTTGTTTTGGATTTCTACTTTCTCTTGGATCCCACTGAGTTTCTTTGCTGTCTATATTCTGAATTCTATATTTATCATTTCTGACTTTTCATTTGGTTAGGATCCATTGCTTGGGAGCTTTCGTAATCTTCAGGTATCAAAATGCTCTGAGTTTTGGTATTGCCAGTGTTTTTGTGATGGTTCCTTCCCTTCTCA